AGAGACCTTTATTGGCATTACTCCTCCCTCACTCCTTCCCTGAGCAGAGGAGCCTGGAGCAGAAAATCAACAGGAGGAGCAAACTGCTGCAATCCAACCAATGTGTGTGTGACTCAGTCAACCACCGGTTGATGCTGGGTCCTAAAGAGACTCAACTCATCACAGATGAGCTCAAATGGGGAGATGCCGGCTCAGATCGATTAGGGGGTGAGGGGGTCAGAGGGAGGGGGAACTGAGGATTGGGGGAGGGGCCCACAAAAACAGCGGGAGTGGGCCCCACGTTAGCTATGGGCCTGGGTCGCCATATCTCAAAAAAGACATTGCAGAGGTTGAAACAGTACAGAGGAGGACAAAGATGTTTAGGGGGTTGGAGCACCTTCCCTATGAGGAAAGGCTGAAGAATCTGGGACTTTTCAGTTTAGAAAAGAGGCGACTAAGGGGGGACATGATAGAGGTTTGGGGTGGAAAGAGTTGACAAAGAGAAATTTTTCTCCCTTTCTTAAAATGCTAGAACTCAATGAGGCTGGTGGGCAGTAGATTCAGGATGGACTGAAGGAAATACTGCTTTATACAGAGAGTGATTCAAATGTAGAATTCGCTGCCAGAGGATGTAGTGATGGCCACAGGAATAAACAGCTTTAAAAGGGGATTAGATAGATTCATGGAGAATAAGTCTATCAATGGCTACTAGCCATGGTGACTAAGGGGAACCTCCACATTCAGAGGCACTAAACTTCTGAATCCCAGAGCCAGGAGGCAACATCAGGGAAGGCCTCAGCCTCTATGCCCTGTGGTTGACCTTTCTCCCTCCCTCCCTCCCTCCCTCCCTCCCTCATACAGTAGCATAGGTCTTGGGTTTTCAATTTCTGATTTCATCTATTATTTCTCTGATTTCATCCATGAGGATATTTCTGCTCAGTCCCAAAGATGTCAATGAAGATTTCAAGTTTCTGTAATAATAGCTTATTACACCGTAAAATCCTGCATTTTCCAGTATATACTGAACACTTTTAGATTTGTTTATACAATTGGATATTCTGGTATATTCATTGGAAATTGGTAGAAACCCCTGTATTGATGCTGGTGTCTACACAAGCGCTGCTCCGCGCTCACTCCTCCCTTTAGCCTCGATGGTACGTGTCAATTTCACACAAGCTGCTGCACGGCCGCATTTTGCCCCACAGCTTCGTGCGATTTTCCCTGCGTCTACTCAATCCTGTTTTTTGAGGGAAATCGCCCTGTATATGTTTCAAGTAAATTTTTACCTACAAAGTAAAATGTATGCAGTAGTCACATGGGTTAGTCTGAACACAGAGTCCTTGGGAAGATATCTAGCTGATGTTATGCAACTTCCCAACTTTCACAGAGGGCTGTGCTAAAACTGGGAGAAACTCAGTTGAAACGCATGCTTGCAATAATATACTTTGCCATTTTGGACAAGATGGAAAATATTCTCTTTAGTGATTAAATCTATAGTTCCATAGCCACAGGACAATACCCATTCAAACAGAGGGTGTATCAAATGTTAAGCATATGTCATTCTTAAATTAACCCCAAAGTGTGAGAAACAGCTAGAAAACACCGGAGGTCTTGCAGGATGGAAAACTTTTTGAGTATTTCATGGATGGAATTTAGCAGCCCCTCCCAAGAAAAAAAAAAGGTTATAATATTTGATGCTGAGTTTTCTGACTCACATATAATAGTTATATTATAGCTGTGTAGCACTTTATGATTGCATGTAGTGGACTGGCATATAATGTTACAAAAAGAACCACTTGAAAAATGTCTTCTTTAAAACTGAGTGGTTAGGTTGGGCTACTCTGTGGTTTTTTAATAGTAAAATAAATTGGAAACAGACATCTGCAGTATCTGATTCTAGATTCAGAAATGTTTGAAAAATGATCCTCATAAAGCAAAATCATTGACACTTTCTAACAGATATCAGCTGAATATTTTAAAATATAACAGAACAAGTTCATTATTATGCTACCCATGCCATTCTAATTGCAACTCATCCAGCCAGATTTGGTTTTGTTTTATACAGGGAAATAATTTGGAGTTGGGCGTTCCATTGTCAGTGAATAAAATTTTTAAAAAGAGACCTTCAGAACTGGCTTGCCATTGCCTGCCTTTGGGTAGCGACCTGGGACTTCTTTGGTGGTCTCCCATCCAAGTACTAACCAGGGCTGACCCCTGCTTAGCTTCTGAGATCTGATGAGATTGGGCTAGTCTGGGCTATCCAGGTCAGGGGGTGCATAAAAATGAGGGACTGGAATCAGTTCCCTTGCCCCTAGAGTGGTGTAAACTGTCAGAGCTGTCCAATTGCGGCAAGAGCAGCCCTAAGCTGGGAAAGAACACAAAAACAGCCAAAATGGATTATATGTTGATTACTACATACAGCATCCATTTACAAATGTAGGTTCTGATCTTTCTGGGAATCCACATAAAAAAGCATGGTTTCATATGCAGATCACCCTACTTGATTGGGCAAATACCATTGTTCTGTAAGATGTTTTAACTTTGAAGCTTTTATGTACAAATTCATATTCAATTGTGCACTATATACCATTATACTCCAGGTAGACATTTATGGCAGCAAACAGAAGCCCCTCATAAAAATCCTAGAGAGAAAGCAATAATACATGTCCCTACTAAATTTGGTTTTCATGTTTTATGAAGAATACTTCCTCAAACTTCCACAGCATAATGAAAACACATGTGGCCCTAGAAGACAATGTGACCATTCTCATGGAAAGATTAGATCAAAACCTCCTCTCCCCCTACACTTGACAGTTATATGGGCCACATTTCAGTAAGACAAACAAATGGGGAAGAATATTATCAAGTGTAGAACTTCTCCTTGCATTAACTATAGCCATTTTTCATTTTCAGTCCCAGATGTTTCTTGCTATCTGAAATAATTTCATATTGAATAATTTTTAAAACATAGGTTTTTATTATCTGAAATAATAACTAATGTTATAGCACAAATAAAATATGATGATTAATTAAAATATGATTCATTTGGACTATTGTCTGAGAGGGAAAAACTATTACTGGAAATTAAATTAACTATTATATTTCCCAGCTCCTGGTTGCATTGGCTGCCATTGATTTCAGTATAGTACTTTTGACCACAGTGAGCTGGACATTGTTGGGGCTTAGAACAGAATTCACCTGTGGTTGCCTCATATGTCTTGGACCTTACTCTTGACTGCTAGAGTCCCATACAACAGGGGGAGTGGGTAGAAGTTAGACCATTCCACTCACTGCCTGGTAGTTGCTGAGATTCCTGAAATGAATGGTGGCCTTGGTGGACCTCAATGTAAGCCAGAAAGGCAAGAATATCTACTCAGGAGTGCTGGATACAAATGTGTTATGCTTTGACTATTAAGAAGCCCTGTAGATGCACTCTTGGTTTTAAAATTTTAAATGAATTGGAGCTCTGTAGGGATTGTAAATTCTTTTAAAAGAGGAGAGTGTGTAGGGATGAAGTCAGCCCACTCCTGTAACAGAATAAATATCACTTGTTTCAGACAGCACAACCCTAAAAAATCCTAATGTGTGGAACGTTCATCTCCTGAATCTAAATTCTCTCCTGTTGTTAGGAACACTGTCAGTACTAGGCTTTTGTAAAAAGTATAGTAATCGGGTCGTTTCGTAGAAAAAGAGCTAGGGGAA